GCCCTAAATCTTTATAATCCTGAAGAAAATCATTATAAAGAGATTATATTTTAGGGTACCAAATGAATCATCTCAATAGATTCTAATCGATTAGCTGTCATAAATTTTGATTTACCTGATTTCGTATTCGCTTTCATCGTCATCTTTACTACATAACCACTGTATGGTTCTCTAGTATATGTCTGTAAAAAAGGCCTTTCGCATTCCATTCCTTCAGGCATGCAAAGATCTATGTCATGCTGTTGCGATCATTATTATTTTGGGCACTATAACGAATTCTGAAACTCCAATAAAATCATTAGGGAAAGTTAAAACCGCAACGCATACCATCGCTTTAATTTGATTTAATTGAATAACAACATCATTTATTAAATCCCGAAATTTGAATGCTCAGTTTTATTTCCCTTAACCGTAACAGATTCATATTATATTTACTGAAGCATTAATCATATTCATCTAAAAAAGCAGAAGCTGCCTTTTTCCTAAACCGGCCTTCACATAAATTAGAACACAACAGTAAAAAAATTAGCACTCGTACACGGTGATTTTGGATTGTTCGACGCAGTAATTTCAGTGTTAATGTTTTCTTCATTTTGCGAAGAATTAGATGAATTAAGGTTTTCATTTTTGTTTTGATTTTGTTCCTCTGTCAAAGAGCTGCGTAACAGAGAATTATGTGCCTTACCACAAAACTTACAATTACAATTTGACTTACATTCATTGATTTTATTCATAGCCAAAATTACTTTAGGCATAAGGAATTATTTTTTATGTAGCACACATTATATTTTAAAAATTCATGTTATTTATAAGCAGGATGTAATCCAGATTAACGAGTTAATCTGGATGAGCCTATAACTAGATTTGTAACGTTATTTACAAATTTTTACTTCATTTGTGCCGAGAGCCATTGCAAAGAAATGATTGTCTTTCTTAAGAAAAGTTATTAAAGCTTCCCATTTAGGTAAATCGGAAGTCTCCAAAGATATTTGAAAAGCTTTCTTGACTCTTTATTAATCGTTTGAAGCACAGCATTTATAATAGTGTTGCGAAATGCCCAGCTGCAGTCAGATAGCTTCCCCGCAAAGCTGGTTTAGGGTTGCTAGAAAATGGCAAGGAAAGGCAGGGATGCCAGATTTGGCGACAAAATTGGAGATATGCCATAGACGGAGCGACAACATTCTAGAACTGGTTTTCCTGAGAAGGTTCTCCAAAGCATGTCAAAAGCTACAGTAGCAAGTTTATCGTGAAGAGTGTGTTTAATTGAGTAGTAGTGCTTTGTGTTCAGAGGTTAGCTTGAGAGTGATCGACCGAGTAGGAAGTGGTACGTTAGCGCTTTGCCGTGAAGTTATCTTCACCGTTATAGCCTGCATTGGCGTAGCCTGAATATTCCTCTCTGAAGGCTGTGTTGCTGATTGTTTCAGCGCAGGTTTATCGCAGTTTTTCGACGGCTCTAAACGTGTCTTTGGAACTCTCCTGTGTAATACTGACTAATAAATTGTGTTTTTGATTCTTCATGAAGGGTTGTTATCAATCACTCCAAATCCATGAACCCGTAGAGTGAAACAAGAGTATTCGCACTTCATTTAACTAACTCTAAATCTGAATGTTTAAAACCTCTTACATATTTTATTACTTTGCCAATTAAAAATCGCTGTTCAACTGTAGATTCATAATACATATTTCTATATTTTAAGTTATGACGCTTCAAGATATATAAGCTCAGATGATTTGTAAACTACCTTCTTACATTTAAGGTAAGTAGTCTCTTATTTCATAACGTTCTTCTAATGCTTCATAAAGTGAGCTAAATGTAGTTTGACTCTGCTTAGCATTACCAATTAATGACAATTTAAAATAAAATAATTTTTGTGAGTCATGAAGCTGATTATTAGAATATATCAAGGAATTAAACTGAGCCTTAAAGCTATTCCACTCTTCAACCTTACCGACAATTTCACCTTTACCTCATTAACAACTGCAGTAACTAAAAAAAAAAAATTCTGAAAGCTTTTTAGATTTTACATTACGCCCAACGGGGCGTCTTTTTAACGTTTTGTGTGTTACCTTTGTTTATTAAATATCATGTTCCTCGCACTTAAAGCATAAAATTCAATTCAACAGCAATATCGCAAAATAATTTTAAAATGAGCGTATCTTTAGAATTTTCGATACATAGTCTCGCGCGCTGGAGATAAAAACGTTTCCGTACAATGTTGCCATTGCTGGCTTTGAAATCGTAGTTTGTTAATTAAAAATTCGCTGAAGTTTTAGAAAATATGAAATAGATAATAAAACAAACTCCAAATTTGGGCTTCCAGATGCCCATATTTGGGTGGAGACGTAGGTTATTCAAAATTGGATGGCTCAAGGTACGTTTTTTTATCACAATACGAGAAACATACATATATTTATGCAGATTCTTCATTATTTAATTTCTTTAAATATAATACAGGGCTCTAATATTTGCTGGCAACAATTTAAAAAGTGAAACGCCGTTTATAGTGAATCAGCGTAAAATGCCAAAACGAAATTAAGAGTCCTTCTGGGGATATTGCCCCTTTGGACTAATAAGAATTACCTGTGAAATAGGCTTTAAATTTTAAAAGTCTTACCTCCAAATTTTCTTATTGCCCCTTTGGGCAAATAAGAATTGCCTGTGAAATAGGCTTTAAAATTTTAAAAGTCTTACCTCCAAATTTTCTTATTGCCCTTTTGGGCTAATAAGAATTGCCTGTGAAATAGGCTTAAAATTTTAAAAGTCTTACCTCCAAATTTTCTTATTGCCCTTTCGGGCTAATAAGAATTACCTCTGAAATAAGCTTTAAATTTTAAAAGTCTTACCTCCAGATTTTCTGAATTTTCTTCGATTTCATCTATTTTCGACAGGTGGTTTTTCTGAAACAAATTCGTTACACTGAGTCTTGACAATTCCCAATTGATTTTTTGGTGTCTCTAGCATATAATTTTCTTTTTTATGATGATCATGTAAACATTTTTTATGCTTTCATTACTAACATAATTTGCAAGCCAATGAATTTTTTATTTCATAGCTCCTCACTTCCGGTTTAAAACTCTCACATCTTCCATAGTAACTATTTAGCATTTATACTAAATACAAAAACGTTCAATTCAGTCACAATGAACTATTCTTTTATAAGAAAACTCAATTCAATAAATCCACAAGTCGCTGAATCTTCAACTGCCGGTCGCACGGACATCTCCTTGCCCTAAAAAATAATACATATCAAAACCAAACCTGTCAACAATCATAGAACATTTTATTTCCAAATAAAATATGCACAATTTAAAACATGTTACTTATTTTAGGCAAACATAGTACCATAGCTGTCAGTTAAAAGACGAGTACTATAGCTTCAATAAACGAAGTGTAGATCCTTATATCAATACTTAAAAGTGGTAACACAGACTGAACAGAGAATTAACGAGGCGTTGGCGAAAATTCCAAAGCTGGCGCACTTGTGCAACTTTCAAGGCGAAAGTAATATTGTTATGATGAATATAAAAATATTAATGATTTCAGAAATTGATATTCGTAATAAAATTGATAATGGGCATTATAATCTAAAAGTGAAATGCAGAGAAGAAAGGAATTTGATATTAGAGTGGATGAGCATTATATTACTAATGTGGCATTATATTACTATATATATATATATATATATATATATATATATGCTATAGCATTATATTGCTTGTATGTGAAAGGAAGTGCTTGTTCAAAAACAGAGACTTATTTTTACCTCTGAAAACTGCTTTTTTTAACCCTGTCTTGCAAGAAAAAGGTGAAGTCTCTCATTTTACGACTGAGTGCATTTTTAAATATAAAATTACTCTTCTTAATTCTAGAATGTTTTAGTGCAGTTCTGAAAGAAGAGTTACCTTATGTAAGGAACGGACGACGAGGGATCTTCAAGTTTCTGTAAAATAAGGAATTAAAAATGAAAATAATAATAATTAAATCATAGTATCTGTAAGAATATTACAGTATTTATGATATTAAAGGGTCAATTATAAATAAGTATTGCATAGTTTTTCTGATTTGTTGTAATGTATTAATGGGTATGTATTTGTAGTAGTTTTTTATATGTAGTATTCTGTGAGAAAAGTTACAAAAGCCTTCCCTAAAGAATTATAATAGCTATGTTAATTAAGAAAAGTTTTTTAATTACTTTACATCAAGATTATTATTTAGTTCAAAAGTTTGTGATTTACAGTTTCGACATTATAATATTTATCTTCACTTTCTAATGATTTTCATGTGACATATTGTACTGCCTCATATCTTGGGTTAGTTTTAATAGGAAATATTTTATTACTTCGTTTCATTTAAAAAATACTGCGCTCGGTCTTGCAACAAAAAACGAAAGCAAACTAAGTATACCATCGGATACATAATTATGGGCTTCTTAAAAGTGAATTTAGAAATCATTGCTGTGATAATCCAATTTGTTCAAGCCATCAATTTTATTTTTGTCTCACTCTAAACGAGACGCCAATTTCCTAACTGCACATCATTTTCGCAACTGTGGGAGGAGCTTCCTACATTGGACCAATAGGCTGGCAATAGTTATTTCTGAAAATGAACATTCAAATGTTTTTGTTTCTTAAAATTTTCGTCGTCGATCTTTAATTGACGAGAAAATTTTGTTTAATTTCTCTTGCGAAATAATTAAAACTACAGTAATATACAGAAAATTTCAGTATCTGATTATTGAATTTAGAAAGGTCATGACTAGAAGAACTGCAGAATTTAGAAGAGGAATTCTTGCTTCTTTTTACGAAACATCACTTGAATGAATTTTTCAGCTGAAGTTCATTAGTCCAAAAGCCTGTTCCATGGTTGCGATACCAGTGCGCATTTAGGAAATTCGCAGACGAGAAGAATGTTTTTTAAACTTTCTTTTTAACTAAAAGCAGCTGCAATTTGTCAATTTTATCTGTTATTTTCACTATTCATTCTGTTTTCTTTTTTGCAGTTATCTTGTTTGCTAGCACGGCTGGTCATTTCGCATGTTCTCGTTATCGGTACCACATCATAGTTTGGCTGTATTCACGAGGACTTACGTTTCTTCGAAAAGAGAATGAACAGGACTTTGGAAAGATTCATGATGTTTATATTTCTTGTAGCAATGAAGATCTGCCATTGATTAAGTTACATATCTTGCCAGGTACTTAAATTTTAACATAAGTTAGAATACAAGGATATTTATTATGGCACATTTAAAAATATTCACGAATGATAAACTAATCGGAAGTTGCTGCTAGTTGACAATCTTTTTCGTAGTTTTATAAGCTCGGGATATAAACTGTTCACGACGCTGAATTTGTCTGCACTTTGTTGCAGTTAGAAACTGGAACCTGAAAAATTACATTTACGCTTTTGTTTGCTCGTTTGTTTTTCCCACAGACAAAAAAAAAAAAAAAAAAAAAAACCGCAGTCTCAAGATTCAGATTGTAGTGTACACCTTGAAATGGTTTTCATTAAAACTTCAATGTGGTACGTTATTTTTAATTCATAACATTGAAAAGAAAATGTAATTTGATATTGTTATGCAGATTTCAATTAAAACTTAATGAAGAATTTACGATAGGACCTCTCAAAAATTAGAAATATAGAAAACAAAAAGGTTTATTTAAAATGAGTTGTTCAAAATGGTGAACCGAAATGGTAGAAAAAGGTTTGCTATGACGTTATTTCATTGTATAAATTAATGCCATAGAGTCTTGCACACTTATTTCATAAAGAAAAGATTTAATTATTAAATTTTTGGCTTTACATTTGTTCTTGTAGTTCACTTTCAATAAATATTTTCTCCAAGAAGTAAAATTTTCAATTTTCTTCGGATGCGATATTAACGAGTTGAAAACAGTGAACAGTTTGACTGAGAATCAAAATCGCAATAACAACCTTGTATTTAGCTTACATATATTAAAACACTCAATCGATTTCGAGGGCAGCTAAAGATCCCACCTCAGCCTGACTCAGTACGCGGCCAAAGTGTACTGAGCCAGGCTGAGGCCAAAGTGTACTGAGCCAGATGTTCGCGTTTCGATTCTCGGCGAAGGCTTGCTCATTTTTCATCATTCCTGCTTCCAAAATACCTAATAACTCTACATAGTTATATATGAACTTGGTGCCTTGTTGCATGAAGGCAAGGAATAACTCTACATAGTTATATATGGATTTGGTCAGACTTGGTGCATGAAGGTGCAGTTGCCCCTCGCTCCCTATTTTTTTACTGTTTTTTTTTTTCCGTATTAGTGTATGTGTTTTATGTTTGATTAGATAGCCTGGCTCAGTAAAAGTAGGCGGTCAGTGTAACTCCGATTCAAAATCCGGTTACGACCACGTGCAGTGCTGATAACGACCACGTGTTTCTGAGACTCCTTTTGCCAATGCTTTATTTTTCTTCTTTTTTCCCCTTTCTAGTAATTTCGTTCTCCTGAATGATGAGCAGGGACCTTTAGCTGCCCTCGAAATCGATTGTTTCAATATATGTACGCTAAATACAAGGTTGTTATTGCGATTTTGATTGTCACATTGGCGTGTTTCTCTTCTATTCAAGTTTGATTGAGATTTGTTTTTTGAGTTTCAATATGTACGTGTACTTGAAATACCGTTGCAAGACAGTAAATACATAATTTATAAAACACACGGAGAAAGATATAACAAGAAGCTAAGAAATTTTCACCTCGATGCACAAAATGTTCGTTTTGAGTGCTATTCATTTCTTTCCATGGGATTGCTTACAAAAATGCACTTTTGAACAGAAGTTTAAATTCGTATCGTTTTCCTACTGCCAGTGAAATTCGCAGTTCCATTGCTGAAGACCCCATTCTGTATTTGAACTCCTGAAATATTTACAGATGCCTTGCCAATGTGGCTTAGTACTCTGTTATGAATTTTGTATACGTGTAAATACATTGGTTTCCAAACATTAAGGAAGAAATAGCGATAACTCATTCAAAAATAGACTGATCCGTATAAAATTTGAATATGTTGTCAAATAAGAGTTGCTGAGTTAAATTGCAAATTAATGGTGCTGCTATCAGAATACGTGTCATCCGCGAGTACTTCATGTGTAAAACTGTTGGTTTGAAAGCAAGCCTGCAAATTTCGCTGTGATACTGAGATGAGGAATGTGGGATAGGCAGTTTCATAATAAGGACTTCCAAGCATCATTTGCCCGAAAAACTGCGATGGAGAGCTATTGGTAGACTAGAGGCAGCAAAAAGTCAAACAGAAGTGGCCAGATTGGCTAAATATGAGTCCTTCTAGACTTTGGCAGCAATCTCTAATCACAGATTCGGCATCGAGGAAGTTCGGCCAACCACTGCGATGAACGCTGATGATCGATATTTGTACGCTAGAAGGAACAGAACTTCAACTCAACTCAGATCCTCCCTTGCTGCAGCCGCAGGATGGTTGGTGTCAACGTCAGCTGTGCGTACAAGGAAGTCTGTACGCATTGTCAACTGGAACGAATTATTGCGTCTGCGATGTCAGGCCATGTCCTGCGACACGTCATAAAAGCTTGAAAACCGTGACTTGCGGGGGCCGCACACACGAGATTTTCTCTTCTCTGTATGGTCCGCTGCACTTTCCATATCTGAAACTTCTTCACCGCCAACCGCTTTCGTATTTTGTATGATTTCTGTGTCTTCATTTTCAATCGAAGGAAATCTTTTTAAATTGTTAATAACTTCTCGCCAGAACTGATGCTAGCAAGCAATCAGTGTTGAAAAATGAACGCTGAAATGGCATGTGAGTGAAATTTTAGCATTGGACAAATGAATGGAAGCTATTAAGATCGCGCATATAAGCGAAAGTGCGTTCCACAAGTCTGCTCTGGACAACAGTTTGCTGTATATCACCGATAATAAAAAGAGGTTAACTCTTTGTAATTTGAAAAGTTAATTTATTCGTATAATTTTAAAAAAGTTACTTTTATTAATTCCTTATATTTCAGCATTGAAATCGATTTACTCACTATATCTTCGTCAGAAAGATTCAGTTGCTGGGGTTTTTGAACTTGGGCAACAGATAGCAGAGCTAATGAACAGCAAACGCGTCATCATACTGCTGTCACAGTAAGCATTAAAAATTCTTTGCTCAAACTTATACTTTTATAAAAATAAAAACGTAAAATATTTTTCAAGTCATTTAACCTGAAAATTTATATAATTCAAGACTATTTTTTACGATGGATCAACTTTTTGGCGAATTTTAAAATTTTTTACAATTGAACTCAGCGTCTTTCAAACTTTTTTCAGGTAAGGACATTTTTAAAAATTAAAGTATTTTGGTAACCGCTTTATTCTTCTTCAGTTTGGAAGTTTCTTTAGTATATGTTACTACAATTATGCTTTTGTTTTTAAAATAGAATTAACTAAAATTCGTTTACTTTTAATTGGTATTAAGTTAATTAATGGAATTTAATTGGTATTAAGAGGAAAACTTATGTTTGTAAATAGTCCGTATGTAAGGCACCAGTAGTAAAATTCGTAAAATGTCAATCTGTAGAGTCATTAGGTATTTTTTGAAAGCAGGAGAGATGAAAAATGAGCAATTCCCTCGCTCGGACTTGAACCACGGACCTCTCGAATACGCATCGAGCGTACTGAGCACTACACCACGAAGGCGGGACAAATACCTTATATACTTCCCCTTTTAAAGAGCGACTGGTGTTTAGGGGACCCAGTTGCCAAATCCTGGTGGTGAAGAAACATTATTCACCCGCTTTTAGTTCGGGCGCCACTGTAGAGACGTTTGGTTATTTTGGAGCAAGTAGATGAAAAATGAGCAATGCCATCTCTGGGACTCGAACCACGCATCTGTCGAATACGCGCCGAGCGTGCTGACCACTACACCACGAAGGCATGCTAAGAAGGCAGGAGAAAAACCTTATACGTTTTGAAAATGTGACAGACGATTGTAATATGTAAATATATATATATTTTATTGAAGTCTAAAGAACAAGATTCGAAAATCACCTGTGATCTGCGGGCCATTTAGGGTTCAATGCAGCCCACTGATTGAGAAACTCTGTCTCAATAATACAGCGATTCGCGGAAAGAAAAAAATTAACTAACCTTTTTTTTTTTTTTTTTTTTTTTTTTTTTTTTTTAAATTTTCTGCGTTTTTCAATCCAAGAATTAACAACTACGATAAATATATATCAAGTGATTTATACGTAACATAAAGATAAAAATTCAGTAATTTAGAAGGTCGAGAGAAAAGTACAATGCCAATTTTCACAGAAATGCGTAAAAAGATTTCTTTTATTGGCGAAGTTTTTTATGTGAAAATAGTTACGTTTGCCAACGACAGAGGATTTTTCAATTCAGAAGTTTGTAAATTGTCAGAAGACAATTCGCAACTCAGCTAGGATTGCAAATACAGAGTGTGGCAGCCGTTATTCATCAGAAATGCCGTTAGACGAGATATGGCACTCTTCATAATATTGCAGAAGATTTAAGCTTTAATTGCTGTCATACGATTGAGAATATTTGCTTTTAACATGGCCATTGATGTCGCTGTACTACCTGTGACTTCAATTAGCCTCATTATTTAAAATTACGAGATGTAATGTCTGGAGCTATTGATGGGCATTCGCATGTGAAAGATCGACTAAGGATATGGTAGTCTCCAAATGTCGATCGAAGTAGGTCCTTAATAGGCGTGTGTGTGCGGAGTTGTTAAATTTGCGTAAATGTTAAACCGCACCAGGATTTCATCTCTTACGTTGAGGGAATGATGCTGTTTCTTAAAAGTGCTATTAGTGCTCGTCTGAGACCGGAACAGGTCGAAGTATACCAATGTCAAATTCATCAAAGGAAAGAAGACCTAAAAGATCAAAACGGAAAAAAAACCCGAACCACGTTGTCACCTTCGACTGACGTAAAAGGGCTCATTCAATCGTATGCATGTTCTAGGTGCATTTACACTCCATTGAAACGAAACATTCGCCTCTTCACTCCACAGAACATTTGATAGGTAGTTCACTGTTTTGCAGCTGGTGAAAAGCCTAATTTTCAAATAAATGACACCCTTGATATTAACTGGTTTCAGTTCATTATTGTGTTGTGTTTTATGAGGATACCTTTTGAGGATTATTTGACTAATCGCCTCGCAGTCCGGTAAGAAATCCCTAATTTGTATTAAAATTCCGTGCACACTGCTTTTCTGTTGTTGTTGTTGTGATTTAACTGGTTGTAGTTCATTTTTGTGTTGTGTTTTATGAGAATATCTCTTGAGGATCTTTTGACTAATCGCCTCGCAGTCCAGTAAGAAATCCCTAATTTGTATTAAAATTCCATGCACACTGCTTTTCTGTTGTTGTTGTTGTTGTGATTTAACTGGTTGTAGTTCATTTTTGTGTTGTGTTTTATGAGAATATCTCTTGAGGATCATTTGACTAATCGCCTCGCAGTCCAGTAAGAAATCCCTAATTTGTATTAAAATTCCATGCACACTGCTTTTCTGTTGTTGTTGTTGCGATTTATCTGGTTTCAGTTCATTTTTGTGTTGTGTTTTATGAGGATACATCTTGAGGATCATTTGACTAATCGCCTCACAGTTCAGTAAAAAATAACTAATTTGTATCAAAATTCCGTGCACACTGCTTTCCTGTTGTTGTGATTTATCTGACTTTCTGACAGTAACATCAGAACAAGCCCATGGAATTCATCGTTTTAAGGAGAGCGAGATTGTGCCTGTCTTTGGCAAAAGCCTTGAGCACCATACAGGGAACAATATGACTTTGTTCAGTTCCGCCACAAATTTTGATGGAAAGCAACTCGGGAGACGTATCCGAGGGTCTCCCGTCCCTCTTTATTTGCAGAAATTCCTGATTATGAACGTCTCGAATTCGACCTCATGCACAATTGCAAGTTTTTTTGGGGGGATGGGGGCAGAAGTGCCTTCTGTTCCTTGCACATGCTTAGACTGCCAATATGCTTAGACCTCTTCATCATAGATCAATGACGAACAAGAGATCTGACCATCCCCCATCAGCATCGAACAATAGGTGAGGAGAAGGCGTTCGTGCACATTCTGAATTAGGAATATGCAGTCTAACTAAAAATGCTTTATTCAGTAATGATGACATGGCTCATCTTGGAAAAACATTTATCTTCATTAATAAACAGTAAATGATTTAAGTTTAGTATTCACTAAGTCTAAAAACGTGCGTAATAGATCATTGATCACTATTCGTGCTATCGAATCATTTGAGAAGTGGTTTCTGGCAATAAAACGTTCACTGTTAAAAAAGAATCCTATTCCTTTATGTGCATTTCTGTGAAAGCTGCATAATATTACTGTATAAACTTTTCGAATTGCAGTGAAACGTTGAATCACGCGCAATTTTTCCAAATTAAAAGTGTCTCGGGTGACAAACGTTGTCTTCCGTTTATTGCAGTATTTCTCAGGCTACGTAAAAAATGTCGCAAGAGATTTAAAGTTACGAATTTCAATACGAATTTTATGCGTCTCAAAAAGCCTCACCAAGAAATTTTGCTGCGTATTACGATGTAGTAATGCAGAGCCGGGAGAAGGGTGAGGCACTTGTCTCAGGTGAATAACTACAAGGGGCGCCAAATTAGCTACGAAAATTTAGAAATTCCTTTAAGAAAGAAGTCACAAACATTAACTTTCAATTTTGGAACATCAGAAAGTACCAAAGAATTTTATGTTATAAAACAGTACAGCTCAATCAAGATAATTAATAACGTTAATATTATCTAAAAACTGTTGATATTTTATGGTATTATATATTACTTTCTAATATTAAAATTCATTGTTGGAATAAATGCATAGAAATTAATTTGCGCTTGTTTACACTAACGTATTAGGGTACCTAGTCTTAACTTGCCTAGAAAGTATCATCCTGCTAACAACAATAACTCTATACTATCTCTCTTTTAATTTGGACTATAAGGCTATGTTCTTAGTTTGCTGTAGCAAAGTCCCATAACTGAGCTTGGATGGCAACGCAACTGACTACAGTTTGCAACAGACTTAACAGGTAAAAGCTTATTGGAATAACATCGAGAGGCTAAATAAGTATGTTTAAAAATTAAATTATCATATTTTCAATATTTTTCTTCATTTTTTAGGTAATAGGCAAATGAACAAGACACATAGTTTGAGTTTTTGTTTTCTTGTATCCATATTTAATGTGCACGAAACTGTAGAGTTGGTTTCATTTACGGTTATTTCCGGAGCAGTTAGACATGTTGCTGGACAGATTTTTAACTGAAGAGGCACAATAGTTAGTCTCATTTTCTGAAAAGACCGGAATGTATATATATATATGGAAATGCATGATTTCTCTATCTTTTTGAGTAGTTCTGTTATTTCTACTGGAACAATTAAAATTGTTTAGTGAGTATCAACGAAATAAAGGAAAGAGATCAGTAATTTTGAATTTTTTATGGAATATTTATGACAAGCTGAGGTTTGTTTTTGTGGTCTTGGTGAAAAGAATATACTTTAAAAAATGCATTTCTTGTTAAAAGAATTTTAAAAAACATACTTTCTGGAAAATATGAAACCGAATGATAAAGAAAAGAGTGAACGCTATAAAATAGTTGATTTAAAGCTGAGAAAAAAAATCAGAATAAATTAGAGCATAAAATAGATTGCAAACTTGTTTATTGGTGCGAATAAAAATGATTAGAAGCACCTTAATATTCGCGAAATTGAACATAGTGAAGTCCATAGAGTTAACCGATGAAGCGGGTCCATAGAGTGAACCGAAGAAGTAGATTAAATCTTAATAACTTTAAAATAGTGCTTATGTTGTAATAATATGATGAGAACAATGGGTTATAGAGTTTCTTATAATAAAAATTCATTCGACTTGTAAACGTTAAGCTAGTTTTAAAGACTACTTCTTTAAACAATCGATCAAAATAAAATGTGCGAGGTTATTTTCTTTTGGATGGATGCTTTGGTAGAGAATATACCAAAAGAACAGTATCGTATTAAAGTTACACAAGAAGAAGATTCTCAAAAGTTATACACAACCAACGCAATGCACCGTTTAGGATTAGGGATAGATCCGATCATGTTGCTGTCTCATCGA